GGAGAAGTAGAAGGAAGGGGAGGATTTAGAAAAGCAGCAGAAGGAGGGGAAGGATGAAGATAGGCAGGAGCAACAGGAGGATGAGGAGAATGAGCAACACAAGGAGGAGGAGGGTGGTAAGGAAGAGAAACAGCAGAAGGAGAATGGGGGAGGATGAAAAGAAGCAGGATAAGGAGGATGAAGAGGATCAGGAGAAGCAGCAGCAGGCAGGGGATGAAGAGAAACAGCAGCAGCAGGATGAGGAGAAGGAGATGCAGCAAGAGCAGCAGCAGGATGAGGAGAAGGAGATACAGCAAGAGCAACAGCAGGAGGAGGAGAAGGAGACGCAGCAAGATAAGCAGCGGCAGGAGGATGATGAGGAGAAGCTGCATTAGCAGGAGGATGAGTAAGAGGAGGAGAGGCTGCAGGTGGAGGAGAAACAGTGGCAGCAGCAGAATAAGAAGGAGGGGGAGGATAAAGAGAAGCAGCAGCAGGTATAGGCTGAAGAGCAGGAGCACAGGCTGGGAAGGAGCATGGAGGTGGAGGTCGCTTGGTTCCAGCGATCGCAACATACCAGGCGGTGCGAGCTGCGAGGGCCGCACAATGCCACTTGTGGCTTTAATTTGAATTGAATTACACACATTGTTGCCAAAAATTGGCATAGTTACAAAGAAATAGCATACATTATCACGCTAATACAACTCTAGCCTAGTGTTAACATATAAAAAAGGCTGTAATGGTGAGTAACTTTCAATGTTTTAATGAGGCTATAGGTAAGTTATGTATAAAACATCTATTTAGCAGATTAGCTACTAGTTAATTAGCCATATGTTACATTTTTTTAAGCCAGCTGTTTGCTGCTTAAATAATTTTTTATATTCTTTCATGAAAGACAGGGGTATGCATTTTTAGCAAAAATAGTACTGTTGCTTTATAACAAAAATCCATGTAAATGTTTTATGGACCATTGTTAAACAGTGCTTGCCTGCCCCCACTTGTTGCTGTCAGCTGGCTGAAAGGAGGATACTCCGATTTCCATTTAATTGCAAGAAAAACAGATTTGAATTTTGGAAATATTCTGGGTACCAAAAAAAAAAGACAAAAAAGAAAAAAAAAAAGTGATGATGTCAAAGTTGAAGGAGTTCAGTTGCTTTTATGAAGGAAACCGTTTTAAAATGACAAATGTCAAGCTCGAACTGCAGAGTGGCAACCTGAGCAGATAGTTTGAATAATGAGCCGGCTAATGGTATCCTGCACTGTTCCGATCATAACTTTCATTTTATTTCATAAAAGAAATATTGGGGAGTGAATACTACAGTGCAATAAAACTGATATTTTTACACCGTTTTGGATCTCATACTTTGTTATAACAGTGCTGTTGATGCCCTCTGCAGACTTAAACACAAGTATTTTTCTGACCTTAATGTGTTTGTAAGGTGGCGGTTTTCTGTAATTCTTCTTGTCCTCTTGAAGTTGCCGAAGCTCCTTTTCTGTCTGCAGTTCACGGAATCGCACAGCCGCCTCCTCCAAAGCTGAAAATGAAAATCAACGTTACAAATTCAACAATTATAAACGCTGAATAAGTCATGTGTTTCAGAATCTGCACAAAAAGCATTCCCACCTTTCTTGTATGTTGCATCAACACCCTTTCCCATCTTTTCTTTGCTGTTTGCGTCAACATCCATGTACGGGAACACCCTGGCCTGGTAGGTCCACAGGTAGTCGTTGGAGCCAAAGAAATGGACTGGAAATTCCCCCACATCGTGCCTCATCCGCTGGATGTTATCCGGGATGGTTTTAGGATGGCTAACCTCCGCAGGCCACCACCTAAGGTGAAAAAATCACATGAGGGGCAGAACATTAAATAAAACTCTGAAATTTGTTTGCTTTATGTTGTGTTCTTCATTTTATTCAATACATTACAGCCAATACAAGAAAACACCTTATTTAACAAAGCTGAAAATATTGCTAATGTAAACTAAACCTTAAACCAAAAACAAAATAAATAAATAATTTTAAGCACAAGCTCAGCTTAATATCACTTTAGAGTTTGAGGTCTATAAGAGCAGTAAGTAAGAATAATTAGACTAAACTGGTAAAAGAGTTAAATATCTACTGGTGACTGAACACTACATCCTGCATGCCTGAATAACCAAGCCAAGTTAAATATATTTCCAATTTCAAGTAAGCCAATAGTATGGATCTTTTATCATCTGCAGTATAAAATGCTTGGAATAGATTGACTATGTCTTCACGGCAACAAAATAAATGTTGCAAAAGTTTGCTATAAAAGAAACACTAAAAAGCCACCTAACTAATTACATGTTAGTTTTAATGCCCTGAACTTCCATATCAATGCATTCTTTTGCACCATATTTTTTTGTCGCCCACACTGTTTACATTTGATCACTGCTGAATTTTAAGAAATGAAAATGTCCAGAAAGCATAGGTCTAAGTCATGTTTTAACTCTCTTTTTGGGCCACTATTTTGCTGCGTTAGATTACCATTTGCAAAGGTGTCCTTATTGATGAGATATTTTAGTACATATTAAAATTATAGTATCATGCTGTCAGATCTATGATCTGAACCCCCTGTACCTTTATATCTCAAAGATGCTCATCTGGAGTTAGATCTGGGGAAAGTAGAGCCTACTGGACGACCGTGAAACATTGTTTATGTGCCAGAAACCAGTTTGACGTTATTTGAGTTTTGTAACTTGGTGTTTCATCCTGTTAGAAGTACTCACTTAAACTGTCAACTGACTAATCATTAGTTTAGGTTTGTGGTCCAGTTGTTTTATTTGCTCTACTACCTGCTTTTATCTTTTTTTTTTTTTAATCATTAATTGATTTTATTCTGCTTTTATTTTGCATCTGTTTTACTGTTTAATTCAAGCTAACTAAAAAAGTGGGTTTATCCACACATGTTCTAGTAAATAACTTTGTTGAAAAAAAACAAAAAAAACCTTTAAGAAATATAACCACAGGCAGCAATTTTTGATCGAAAACCATTAAAACCACATGATCAGGTTTCAGAAGCTTTGAGTCCTGTCACTAACCTGTAGCGGCCGACCTTCACCCACAGGATGTCCTTGTAGCGAGGCCTTTTCCCGGCCTTACAGTCGTTGCAGTACCAGCTGCCCTTGGGCATCTCAATGTTCAAACACTCTCTGTGAAATGCGGCTGGACATGACTCACAGCACAGAAGGCTTCCTCCTGATGGGTGCAGAGAAAAAAACAGCCTTTTTAAACACTTTTCTGTTTAGAGATTGATATGGTTTATGTAACGTAATAAACTCACACGGCACATACTTTTAAAAAACAACAAATAGCTTCTGAGGAGAGACATTAAAGGTTCCACTTTTACAAGTCTTCCATGTGACAATATTACTAAGACATTAGCTTAAAAACACGTTGCTGTCACCGTGGAGATTAGGTCATAGGGAGGCACTTTGTCTCAACTTTGCTCAGAAATGATCTCGCCCTGCCTCACATCCCCGCTCCTTGACCTGATAAAGTGGGCATGTTTTTTACTGAGCCAGAGGATAAACAATGTCTGAGCTAGGACAGCGATGGCCGCTTATTTTCCAGGACAGGGAGGGGCTGCTGCAGAATTCAGCAGAATTCATGAGGATCACTCAGACATGCAGAATAAATCTAAGTACCAGCTTGTGCATGAGTCTAATAAAGAATTAACATTATAACATAGACAAAAGCTTAAAAAAAGTTGATTTTGCATGATATAGACCTTCAGATGGCATCATTTTGAATAATAAAATAATTTGGGTCATTTTACTGCGCTGTACATTAGAAACAAAGCAGCTGGTAAAACGTGTTAGTATATAAAATCAGTACAAGGACAAAAAAAAAAAGAACAAACAAAAGAAGGGAAACACCACCAATCATTCTCTAGCAGCGCACTACAAAAACAGTTAAACCAAGAAGAAAGAAAAGAAGAAAGAAAAAGTTTTTCATAAATTTTTTTATTTATAACTGGTAGTGGGATGTAACTAAAATGTGTTATTGACTTAATAGCGGGGTCCGTAATTAATTATCCATCCATCCATCCATCCATCCATCTTCCTCCGCTTATCCGGGGTCGGGTCGCTTTTTGACTCAGCTCTCTCTTCACCACGACGGACCGGTACAGCGCCCGCTTCACGGCAGACGCTGCACCAATCCGCCTGTCGACCTCCCGCTCCCTTCTTCCCTCATTCGTGAACAAGATCCCAAGATACTTAAACTCCTCCACTTGGGGCAGGACACCCCCCTGACCCGGAGAAGGCACTCTACCCTTTTCCGGCTCAAGACCATGGCCTCGGATTTGGAGGCACTGATTCCCATCCCGGCCGCCTCACACTCGGCTGCGAACCGATCCAGCCCCCTGGATTGAATGAGGGAATAAGGGTGTCCATATGTGCACTTGGCACCAGGACACCCTAGGCCGCAGTTCGATGATCGACTTTGTCATTGTTTCATCGGACTTGCGGCCGTATGTCTTGGACAGCTCGGCAAAGAACTCATGCTCTTCCTCAACACTGAAGTCCTCAGACATTTTTCTTTCTTTGTTTCTTTCTTTGCACAGGTAAACAGCACATTTCTTCTTCTACGCTTGCATTATCGGCAGAGCAGACGCTGAAACTGCACTTTTATCTGGTTTGGTCTGACGCGGTTTCCGTAGAGTCGTGAACTCGCAGGCGCGCGCTTTTAGGAAATCCTATAAACTACTGGTTAGGCTCTAAAAACATTATAAATGACTTCGTTTTGAGTAAATTATGGACGCTACCCACTCAGGACACTTGGAATACATTGGACGAGCAGTATGGAGGAATATTGTATTGACACATTTTTTGTGGACTTTTATGGACCTTTCTGTCTCGGGCGCTATGGACCTCCATTATTTGAATGTCAGCAGACAGCAAGAAGCCTCCCAGATCTCCAGATGCATTTGAGATATCAAAAAAGTACTCCAGAGTGTTGTTCAGCATGGGGGTGAGTAGAAAATGAAGGCTAATCATGTTTTGGGTGTACTATTCCTTTAACCTTAAATTCTGATAAAAAAGTAAAAATGGAAATTTGTCATTACAGAACAACGGGACAAAACAAATTAAAAAGCTATAAAAAGAAAAGAAAAAAGCTTTTTATGAAATTACTACAAACTAAGCCAAAAGCCAAAAAGTTTATATATGATATAATATATGAGTGACCAAAAAAAAAAGAATGACAAACATCTTATGACAGAACAGTTAACTAAACTTTACTCATTCATTGATAGAGTGGCAAAATCAGGCCAAAATAATGGAGTTTTATGGAGTAAAATAAGATTCTATTTCAATTTAAATAAATAGTTATGAGATAATATATGAAGAAATAAATGTAAGAAGAATGAAACAATGTAAAAAGATTGTACCTTCAGTGCAGACGAAGCACCAACTGACGTTTACATGTTCGTGGTTCTTGACGCCTCGGCGGGGGGTGAAATGGTTGGGGCAGATGATGCTGTTATTGGAAAGCACAACGCTTCCCGCCGCCATGCACAGATCTGTGGCGTGATAGGCCACTGGGCAGCGAACACATCGCACCAGGCGACCTGCAGAGATGCACCAGAGCACAGGCGGTCAGCGCGGGGCCGCGGCCTGCATGTCAGCCACGCCTTTTTCTTTGCTTACCTTTGGAGATGGACGAGCTGTTGGGGCTGGTGATGAAGCAGGTGAGGCAGACGTGGATGGAGCAGCGGAAACTTCGGTTCACTGGCGCGGTCGGGGCATAGTTTGCAATACACTCTCCGTGGTAAAACTTCCCACACACAGGAATCATGCAGCGACGCACATCTTCGCTGCGCTTCTTACACACAAAGCAGGTGTGGATCCCTGAGCAGAATGGATAAAGTTTTTCAGCTCAGGAAAACTGATCACAAAGAATACGACAACCGTGATAATCTTTAAACAAAGTTTTTTGATGCCTTTGAATGTTTTTTTTTTTTTTTTATAAAACCCCTGTTTATCTATTCAGCTAATGATTATATTCCTTTATCGTAATGTCACACTAGATTTTCACCCTGTGCCTGTAAAATATTCAAAAAACTGTTGATTGAATCTACTTTCATCCCTAATAATTGTTACTAAAATGTCTAAAGAAGCTTCAGTTTTGTATAGTTTTACTTATCAAGCAGTTTAATGGGAGACTGTAGTTTCTGTGAAATCAGCCCAGAGGGGAGTGTGAATACCCACCATCATGTCTATTTAAGCTGCAACATTCATCTCATAAAGCACCGTGGATCAAATTGGAGTCTGTGACCCCTGGAGGGTCGGATTCAAGAACATTTCTGAGCTGACATACAGTTTTCACACATTGACCATTTTTAAGCCTAAGTTACTCTCAATGCTGTGTCCGGTGCCCTGTTGCTCAAAAAAGCCAGAACTCACCATGACAACAAGTGACTTGACATCTCCTGCACTTGTAGTTTGGCTAACCGAAAGGTGATGTTTGACTTTCTTACTACCTTAAAGTCGTAGGGAAACGGCTGTTCCAACTTTTGCATTTCCGAATTTTCCCGAGTGGTGCACGACTTTACATGAGGGAATAAAGTGAATGTGATTGGTTGTTTATCAAGAGGGCAGGATTATTGTGGCAGAAGGTTCGCAAGCAAGGGATGTGTTTAGTTGTGGCCGGTTTGTCGGAAGCATCTTGCTAACCAGTTAGCAACTTAGTGCTAGTAGGTTCCCAATGGGAAATTCCATTGGGACCAAGTAGCACTAAACTGGTGACTTAGAAACGACACTGTCAAGGAACGCTATGGACAGCGGAAACATGCAAGAGGAGGAGAGTTTTGTGTCAGGGGCCGTGGATCAGTCTCCTCCGTCACGCATTTTTTATTTAGAGGAGGAAAGCGGGGACGAAGTTGTTTTGGAAGAGGACACCAGGGCGGCAGAAGCTTGGTTTGGTGTAGAAGGCTTACAGCCGTACATGTTTGAGCCCTTGCCTCACAACACTGCCAGTTCTGTTAGCTCTACGCCTGCCGAAGACTCAGCTTCCATCCCCGTGAACACTGGGACGGAACTCAATGGTAAAGTGAATGATTCCTTTTTCAACCGTTGCGTATATTATCTGTGACATATGAATCAAGATACTATGACCGAAAATTTTTTATTGGCAGATGACCGTTGATATATGATTGGACGAATTTAGGTGTACAACCTGACGTATAACTAACTCGCCTGCAAAAGAATTTAAATATGACTTCCCTACGACTTTAAAAATATGGTTGGTAATGTTGGGAGAGCAAGCAAGATTGGAAAGTGGCACTCCTCCTCCTCCCTCCGGTCAAAGCTACGCCTCCCCTGCAAACTCAAACTTAGACGACTTTTACTGTCAACTTGTAAACACAGAGCTTTGTATACACAGCTTTCACACAGTAAATGAGGAGCAGCTTAGCAGTGAAATGAACATTTCTATTTCATAAAGTGCAGTAGAGATCAAATGTAAACAGGAGAAAAATATGGTGTAAAACGTATTGATGTGGAAGTACAGAGCAGTGGAAACACGCATCTCACAGCAGAACTTGGCAAAGCAAAATCGACTCAGCGATTTCTTTCAATATATTTTGGACTTCAGCCTAATTACCTTATGTCTGATTTGGCTATAAAAAATATATTATTATTGTGGCCTTCAGGGTATCATGCTAGGATTAGCAATAATAACCATACAAGTTTTAGCATGTTACTTTTAGGAATACTAACATCACGAGTTTTGGGAAAGCATGTTGTTAATAATTCTGGCAACGGCTGAACCATGAGAATTCACGCGGTTGTGGAGGGACAGAGATGAATGCATATGATTGTTTTTTTCCATTCCAACCAAATGGCAGAGATTGGTCATAGTTTTTAGAGGCTTTCAGCTCCCACAGAAGTCTGATTTGTTACATTCCTTTTTCTGAATACGTCACGTACTGACCCCCCTCAGGATGGAGGGACCATTTCACTCAATATAACAAAAAGTGTTTCTGAATAGAATAACCTTTATTTATAGAGGCTTGGATCTCACTGAGATCCAAGTTCTCAAGAAAGACCTGTTGGATTCAACAAAAAAAAAAAAAACTATAGGATTTTACAGATGTACGAACAAAATAAAAACTAAGAAAAAAACATACATAAACTTAAAAAGACATGATATTATTATAAAATGAAACCATATCCAACACTGTAAATAAACCTGACTGACCTTGGCAGCTTAACAGAAAATCCGAAATCCAACAGGTGTAACAAAAACATCAGCATTTACAACCTGTTTACTACAAATTACAAAAACATTTCATTTAATATTTGTGAATTAAAGTGTGCAATGGGTTCATTCTACAAGCAAATCCAAGTAGAATGCTTTGATGTTTTAAAAACAGGGTTTTATTTTGAAGCCAACTGCCATTATTCCTCTGTTTATATTTTTCTATTACTATTTCTAAATGTCATCCATGGACAATTTTCAAGCTAGTGAGATATTCAGCCTGCTGCAGGGAGTCTTGCTGAGGTCAATGTGAGCAGGATCCATCCACGTGCTTCACTCTTACCATGTCTGACACCCCATCTGGCTTACCTTTGCTTTATAAACTATGCATTTTGCCGTGTGAAGAATAGATTCAGTCTGTATTGCTATGAGACAATGAAGTGAAGCTCTCCATCATGCCAGATATCCATGTTTAGCACTCAATGCCTGTTCCAAATCCCCATGTTAAGGTGTAAAACCTTTCATTTGTTGTAACGAGTACATCTCTCCACTGTGAGATCAAATAAGTCAATTAACAGGATTTAGCATCAATCAGTATGGCAGAAGTGAAACACAGACGTACCTGATTTGCACTCTGGACAGACAAACTTCCCTTTGGGTGCCTCAGCTAGAGAGATGCAGGGCAGGTGAAAAGCTCCACAGCACTGACCCTCACAGAGCAGCAGCTCCCCTGTCTTCTCACATACCTGACAAAAACAAATACAAACTACAATCACAGAAATTACAGTAAAAATGTGTTTGTGTGGTTGAATTACATCGTCTCATTGGCACCCATAATGAGTCCCGTTAAATTAATCTAAAAGAGGCCCTTTAAAGCTATTTCAAGTCGTTTAGGGTGTCACTCTTCAAAATGGGAAAGAGAGGAGAACATGTCAATCCTTAAAAGGTGGGAATTGGAGAAAAGAAAATAGTCAAATATATGAAGGAGCTAATCTCTGTGGTCACAACAGCAATGGAAAAGTTTAAAATAACTGGAACTGCTACACAGGAATACCTGGATGGGAAGCTAGTGTTATCTTTTTTTTCTATTGGGAACAGTGAGTCAGATAGTGTGGGAATAAAATCCTTAAAAGCTCAATGTTGGAGAAGTGCAGAAAAGTGTGCCATCTTGTGGGCCCCAAATCTCCATAATAGCCATTAGTACTTGTGCGTTCTCATGTGCTTGTAAAACATCTCAAACCCTTAAACTGCTCCAACTGACACACACTGAACACAAGACTGAGAACAGAAATAGTATCTGGAGGTCGTTCTTGGTCCATCCTCTTTACCAAGCATGCATCAGAGCAGACTTGTCTGTTCTCCAGACTCACAGCTGTCCCAGCATGCAACGCGGGTAGCACAGCAACTTCCAAGGGAGCGCTCACAGAGCTCAGTTTTGATTTAAAAGTTATTTTTTTCTGTTGCTGTTCTTCTACAAAAGTAAGCTTTAAGATAATTTTTTGTTGAGAACATTGTGTTTTTAAGCTTCAATGAATGGCCCGTTAACTGATTTAGTGATTAATAAAAAAAAAAAAAGTTCTGATGCTGAGAGGACAGTGGAAACCAGCGCGCCTCTGAGGCTAACTGCAGCCCGTCTGCACAGCTCTCTCTGCACAACTGTGTGTGAGGTGGCTCTGATGGCAATTTTTAGTTTTATTAGACAAAATGTTTATTTGATTTGTGTTTATCTGACTGTATTAATTATAATTATCTCACCAAATGAAAAAGTAGAGCTGTATTATTATCTATAGACTATCAATAACAGGAGGTGAAACGGGTAAAACACAAAAGCAGAGCGTGTGGTGGTGTCCTGAGTACGATTCTGTTCCGATTGACACTGATTTGTTCTGCGCGCTTCCGTTTTTCACTAAGTCCATACTTCCTCTTGTTGGGACCGTACTTGATGAGAACACGGGTCCATACTTGTGTGGTGAATTGAGAACCGGCCAAGGATCAAAAGACTACCTCCCCTGTTCTAGCTAAAGATGTATAGACCTTTAGAGTGACTGTTCTGATAACGTTTATACCTGATGCTTCTTCACCAATCCCTGAATTCAAAGAGGGATGTAACTTCTTCATGAAGCCCAGTTTCTAAGACAGTAATCTCATGAATGATCAGCGTTAATCTCTAAGAATGAGGCCTTTAACCTAAAATAAATAGTGATGGTGCTTTCACTTTTGTACATTTTTGTACAGAATCTAAGAACCTAGATGCAGATAAAAATGTGTAAAACAAAGTTTAAATCATTCTTTAAACACATTAAAAGACCCTGAGATGACCATCATATCTAAGTGGGCTCAGCATTCAGTTTAAATGTGCTCTAAGTACTTTAGTCTTTCCTCTGTATTCTCCAAACCGTCCTTACACAGCTCTACAAAGTCTATATATCATTTTGAAGATTCCTACCTGACACACATTCTCCTTCATGGAGGCGGGCCCTCCTCGGTCACCTATGATCTTCCTTACAGGTAAAACTGAGTCGTCACACAGCAACAGGTCGTCCTTCACGGAGAACCTTTGCTCCTGTCCAAACTTGTCTTCCTATCAAAACAACATGTTTCTTTTGTAATTATCAGATTTAAACAGAGGATGAATTATGGGGTGAACATCAGCTCACCTCTGACTCCACTGAGTCCTTTGTGTCTTCCTGGATGCTGTTATCAGAGTGAGAAACATCCGCTGGAGCCGTCTCTACCTGTTCAGGCTCAGGCAGGTCGGACCCTGGATCAGGGGGTACAGGAGGCGCTTGGGGCTGAAGGGAGGGTAACAGTGGGCAGGTGGTGACCTCAGAGACTGGTGTGGAGGCTGGTGGAGATTTGGTCTTGGTTTTAGAAGACGGTGGAGAAGAATCTGTTCACAAGGAAGTCAATTATTGACACTAAACAACACAAGGCGACTAAAAAGTGACATTCAGTTATCTAAAGCAAAAACTGTGGTAATTCCTGTCACTTAATATAAGGGATTTACAGATCTCCTATTTTTAATTTGACAAATTTATTGTGGAAACTGCCATGAAAAGAACTTTAAAATGGAACAATATCTTACATTATTTTCCTATAAACAAATTCTAAAATGTCACCTTTCTGCCTAAAATCTCACTATTTTGGTAGAAGCAGCAGTTAATTAAATTAAGATTTCACAGTAGGCACCAAGCACAGTTACTAGTATGTGTGGTAAATGCATATTCAAAAGTATTCAAATACATTTCTATTGAAACATTTGAACAAGTTAACATTTCGATTCAGTTCTCTAACAATTAGCTTTGTAGTAGTTGTTTTTTTTTTGCCTCTGTTATCATGCTGATGGAGGGAAGATAAACTCAGGACTTTGTCACGACTTGTTGGTCAAACATCCAGCTGTTTTTAACTTTATATTTTAATGTTCTGACTGCAGCTGTACTCTTACTGCCATATCCTGACAAATTTGTATTTCTTCAATGGTTTGTTCTTTAGCTTTCCCATTTTAAAGATTGGTTCAGAGATATTTGCCACATCGTAGTTTTACATGGATTACCAATTATGTTGTGCCGGTATACTCTGACCCTGTTCAAGAAGTAAAATAAAAATTAAACATTACTTCGATACTACTTATTTGATAGGAAATGTAAATAAAAGTAATTTATAATTATTCATCACTATGGGACTATTTGTAACACTGAATAAATTAACTTAAATTGAAGGTTGGGTTATTTTACATTTTTCACTGTATTTTTTGACAACAAAAAATTAACATTTATTTTTTATTTTTAAATGCATATTATTGGTAAAGAATGTAGGATATCCTTGACCTGTTCGAGGGGCAGCATTTGAATTTGTCTTCAGAGCTTTAATCTGAAAGAAAAAAAAAACATGAGAAACAGAATCAGCTTTATTGTCCAAGTTAATGCACAAACCAGAAATATAACTTTCACACATTGACAAATTAAATAATAGGTTAAATAATAACGAAAACATATGTATTTTTATAGACATTTTAGAACTGTGCAAATGAAATGTACAATCTCAATAAAAGAAAAAACAATACATCGACGCTTTCTTCTGGGGTTTTTTTCCTTCTCTGGTTTTTATTTTGATAAATAAAAAGTGAACAAGCTACATTTGGACCAAAGAAATCACCATCAGTTGTTTCAAAATACATTAAAACAGATTCAAATAATATATTTTTAAATAGATTAATCTGAATTTGCTTCATGAACTTCAACAGGAAACTAAAGGACCAGTAAAAAAAAATAATATCAAGAAATCAAATAGTAACAAGAAGATATCTTGACTTTGCTTTGTGTGCCAGAAAAACGTCCGCTTTCCCAGTACCGGCGCGATTCGCTACTTGAAATAATTATTGTCCACAAATATTAACAACTTTGGTTAAAATGACTTTAAAAACTAGAACACCAAAACAAAAAAGGAAAACAAAGTCACTAACAAATGTTTGGCACAACTTCAAGTCCATTAGGATCAACAGTTGAGCAACATTATTGTATTTGCACTATTGGGATATCTTATAAATATTCTGCTGTATAAGGTCCTGCATGGAAAGCCTAACAGTTTCCCTGAGTAGTTGGGGTCATAGGTCACCTGGTATTTGTTGGGTCTTTTGTTTTGTTTGCATTTTCTGCAAGCATCTTTGCTCACTGCCAATAATCGTACTGGCCATGCAGAGGATGCTGCTTTTGTTATTCCACGCTAGGCGTAAATAGCAAACACTGTTCTTATATTCAGTGCCTAAAAAGTTTTTGTGTACATCATATGAATATTTTTCTAATTGAATATATTGTACATACATTCCATAGTTTAAAAAAAAATGAATCTACATTACCTTAAAAGCATCGAGTTCAAATGATAAAAATTACGAGATATTTGAGTTTATGAGCCATTCCAACTAGATGATCTTTACATTATAATGTCCTACAGTGGATAACATTGTTTATTCTTGACTTCAATGACAAACAATTCACCAATCTTACACAGCTTATCAATATGATTGAATTATAACCAACAGATGTTTCCTGCTTTAGCCATGCCTCCGGCAAGATGATCTTACACACTATACATGCGTTTTCCTACACCGGAGACACTTCCTACATTCTATTAATTGGTTTCACATTTGACCAAGTAAGAAGAAACCTAAAGTCACCCTTTCAGTTTTATGTCCTGGGATTTTCCTCTGCCACCGTAATCTAAAAATCTCTTCACTATGAGGCATGAGTTTATATCTAAAAAAAAATGTAAATCTAAATAAGTAATTTTTTCCTACTATAAGGGAATTGAGGAGGTAAGTGAGACCCTTTACCAATGGAATAAGAAGATTTACATTTGAAATAAGAAAAAAACAATTGCATTGTCTTATTCCAAGCACATTTTATTTAATTTTCTTATTTTAGTAGTAAACATGCTCATTCCATTGGAAAATCCTCTTACTTACCTACTGAAATTAAAGCTACAGTGTGTAATTTTCAGCGACATCTAACGTCCAGACTGCAGACCGCAGCAACATGAACATCTCCCTCCCACCGCTTCTCCCCCCCAACAGTACGGCGAGCGTTACGGGACAAAATGTCTTCCACGACGTCCGCATCACCTACCTTCTCAAGTGATGAGGTTTGTTTACATAGATAATTTTACAGATAGTATTTCATTAGTCTGTGTAGGGTATAGATTTCAGTACAGTCTCAGTTCATCTCTCTCAACTTGCCGTAGTTACTTTCGAGCGTAATGGGCGATCTCGCAATCGGTAGTTTGTTGGCTCTGCGCTGCCGTAGCGCAAAGATGTCTGCCTCCATGGCTGCAAGACCCGCTCCTATGTAATTATTGTTACGGCTGCAGTGGGTCTCTGCTTTTTCTTTTAGGGTCCTGGAGGCAGGCCTTCTGCAGGTGTTATGTTTTTCCCCTGATTGGTGCTCTGCTGCTTTAAAAGCTGTCATGCTGCAGCAGTCAGGAGGCTTTTTTCCTCCTCTCCCTCTTCAGAACTCCAGTTGGTTTGGTTTGGACTTTATGATTGAGTTTTGTTAGGTTTGTTTTGCGTTTGTTTATCTCTAATTGGTTGTGGTTTTGTATTAATCTGTTTTGGCTTCTTATTTCAGGCAATTCTTTTTTCAGTTTTTACTTAATATAATTTAATAAATTTCCTTTTTCATTAACTCTAAAATCCTTGTGTGGTCTCCATTAATGTTACCCCACCTAACAAGCCAGGTGGACGTAACATTGTGGGGGCTTGTCCGATTCATGTGGACTAATTATGCTTAATTGGCCTCATTGTTTGTCTTCAGGTTGCAGTTACATGCCCCTGATTTTGGTTTTCCTGTGTTGCAGGATGTTTGTGGGTTTTAGGGCTACTTTAAGGTATTTGGAACCTTACTAGATTTTGGACATTTTTGGTGTTCCATATGTTTGTTGTTGGAGGTCCATGAGGATTTTTGCTCTTTGGTTAGAGGGGGGGAGAGAGAAGTCTCTTTGTTTTGTGTCAGGTAAGTGCTATCTGGTGTTTGTTGTTTTGACAACTCCATTTTAGTCGACCCTGTTTATTATTTTAGTTTGTTATTTTTGGGCTGGATTCTGGGCTGAGGGCACCGCCGTGGTTTGCTGCCTGAGAGGTTCTGGCCTGGAGGGATTTGCTGCCAGCGGTATCTTGGTGCTTAAAGTGCCTTAGCTCTTGGAGGAAAGCCTGAAGACTAGGCTAAGATTAGTCAGGGCTTTGATCGGTTAGTTAGTGGTAGGATAATGGAGTTTTGCCATTTGCTTGTACCAGTTATGCACTTCCTGATTGTTGGTTAAAAAGAAAAACAAAAAAATTGGTGTTTTCTGATTAGGTTGGTTTGTTGGATTATTTTTTTTTGTTGAAAATGGATACTGTGGGTTCTTTTTTGGCTTCCCCAAGTTTAGAACTGTTGGAAAAGCTTACTAAGGAGCAGATGCATCAAGTAGCTGAACACTTTGAAATTGACCTTGGAGTTGCAAAAGGATTTAAAAAACCCCAATTAAGGAGTTTCTTAAAAGACAAACTTGTACAACTAAATGTCTTTGCCATTTCTTTTTCAGATGCTGATGTGTCAGATGTAACTTCCCGGGGCATAGATTCTTTAACTGGTGCTTCAAAGTTGGATGATGACTCGCCAGGTCCAACGGTGTCTCAAGAGTCTCAATTAAAGTCAGAACTGAGATGGAAATGCGGTTTGAGGTGGAAAAATTGCGGCTAGCACATGAGCTTGAGGAGAGAAACTAGCTTTACAAGAAAAGAGGCTAGCGTATGAACAAGAAGAAAAGAGGCTAGCGCATGAACAAGAAGAAAAGAGGCTAGCACATGAACAAGAAGAAAAGAGGCTAGCGCATGAACAAGAAGAAAAGAGGCTAGCGCATGAACAAGAAGAAAAGAGGCTAGCGTATGCACATGAGTTGGAGGTTAAGAAATTATCTTTGGAAGCTGAGCGCTTAAAGTTGATGTCTGAGGGCAGGTTAAGTGGTGGATCTTTCAATCTGTCTCAAGGTGATGATAGGTTTTCTGGTCATAACTTGGTTAACATGTTGAAGCTGGTACCCAAGTTTAATGAACAAGATCCTGATGTTTTTTTTTCTTTGTTTGAGGACATGGCAGAGGACAATGAGTGGGGTGATCGTGATTGTTCTATTCTGCTGCAAAGTGTGCTGGTGGGTAAGGCCCAAGAAGCTTATGTTTCATTAACATCAGCTGAAAGAAAGGTATACAAATCTGTTAAAGAAGCTGTTTTGAAGGCTTATGAACTGGTTCCTGAACATTACAGGCAACAATTTAGGAACTGCAGGAAGGCTGAAAAACAGACAAATACAGATCTAGTCAGACAACTAAACACCCGGTTTTATCGTTGGTTATCAGCTGAAGGTGTGAAGGACTTTGAATCCCTTTGTGATTTGATGGTATTGGAACAGTTAAAGACCATTATTCCAGATCGGGTTGCCACATATGTTAACGAGCAAAAGGTAAAAACTGCTGCTAAAGCTGCTGTCTTGGCAGATGAGTATGTTCTGACCCATAAAACTGTGAGGGATTACAATTGGAAAGGCAGCTATAGCTTTCAGGAATCTCATCAGGATTGGTTCTCTGGTAAGACTGGATTGGAATCTAAAGCAGACTCTGTTTGTAACTATTGTCGCCAGAAAGGACACTGGAAAGACACTCATCATGATTGGTTCTCTGGTAAGACTGGGGTGGAATCTAAAGCAGACTCTGTTTGTAACTATTGTTGCCAGAAAGGACACTGGAAAAATGAGTGTCCTCTGAATACCAAAATGAAATCGGCTAGGAGTAAACGAGATGATCAAAAACCTGTTGCTTTAGCCAGCGTTTCACAGTTGCATTCAGTGGAGTCTACACATCCAGCTAAAGTTGAAAGTGTAAGACCAACTGTTTTAGCTGTACCTGTTGACTATAAGTTTTTTTCAGAACTGACTGTTACAGATCCCCAGATTTGTGAGAAGGATGTCGGACAGGACATGCACCTTTCATCACAAATGGGTTTTTTTCTTTGAGTGGCAGTTCAAATAAAGTGGCTGTGAAGATTCTACGTGATACCGGAGCATCTGAATCTTTCATATTGGAATCTGTTTTGCCATTTTCTCTATCTGATACTGGTTGTAGTGTCTTAATTAGAGGTATTGGGTTGGAAACTTTCTCTGTGCCTCTTCATAAGATCTACTTGCAGTCAGAACTTGTACAAGGAGAGGTAACTATAGCTCTTCGTCCTTCGTTGCCTGTGGAAGGTGTATCTCTCATTCTAGGAAACAATCTGGCAGGTGGACGTGTGTGGCGAGATGTTGCACCCCCTCCAGTGGTCCGAGCTTGTCCATCCATTTCTTTGTCAGACGTATTTGCTCGAGACTTTCCTGAGGCTTTTCCAGCTTGTGCAGTAACTGTGGCTGATAAGGAGGTTGAGTTTGGTAAGCCTGGTTCTGTTCTTGAGAAGACTGCCTGTTTGCCAACTCTTCCTGTTCCTTTGTCACTCAGTGAGTTGATTGCAGCCCAGCAGGAGGACACAACCTTAGCTGCTCTGTTTGACCAAGTCCAGGCAGCGGAACAGGACACAAAAGTGTCAAGTGGATATTTTCTACAAAAAGATCTGTTGGTACGTGAATGGTTGCCGTATAGTGACAGGGAAATTGTTGGCCCACTCATTCCTTCAAAGTCAGGATCTGTGTATTTGCTGACAGTTATGTGTAGAAGCACTTGTTATCCTGCAGCCTATGATTTGAACTTGGCTGGCAAACTAGCCTCTGAGTATCTTCAAAAGGCTCAGAGAATAATTAAACTGTGGTTTGTCCAAAAAGCTGAGATGGTTACAGAGGTCCCTGTTGGGATCCTCTGTTTTAAGGGGGGAGGTGTTACGGCTGCAGTGGGTCTCTGCTTTTTCTTTTAGGGTCCTGGAGGCAGGCCTTCTGCAGGTGTTATGTTTTTTCCCTGATTGGTGCTCTGCTGCTTTAAAAGCTGTCATGCTGCAGCAGTCAGGAGGCTTTTTTCCTCCTCTCCCTCTTCAGAACTCCAGTTGGTTTGGTTTGGACCTAATGATTGAGTTTTGTTAGGTTTGTTTTGCGTTTGTTTATCTCTAATTGGTTATGGGTTTTGTATTAATCTGTTTTGGCTTCTTATTTCAGGTAATCCTTTGTTAGGTTTTACTTAATATAATTTAATAAATTTCCTTTTTCATCAACTCTGAAAATCCTTGTGTGGTCTCCATTAATGTTACCCCACCTAACAAGCCAGGTGGACGTAACATTATAAATAATGAATTCTAAGGCAACGCAAATATTAAGGTTAAGAGGCTGAGCTCGCAGATGATGATAAATAACATAGTTATGTATAATATATTACATTTCTGCCTGTATATCCCTGAAATTACACACTGTAGCTTTAAGGGTAAATACACTTAATCTAAGACATTTTTACTTATTTCTGGATTGTTTTTGGAGTATGCTGGAAGATGATCCATCTGTTGTATCTGACTGACCCATGTCACTGGAACCCCATAGGATGCTTTTGTTTCTAATCTGAGGTGTGGAGTTACACAGGGATCTCAGAAAGTCATTCTACTGGTGTTGGAAACTGGAAACTAAAGACTTTACCGAGGCAATATATCTGATAACCACAGAACAGGCTTAAATCGGAGGCAGCTGGACCTTTGAAGTCTGGCTGCCTCCGATTTAAGCCTGTTTTGTGTTGGCCATGACCCAGATGACCGCTGAGAATATGCACAGGCATCACTGACAACATGCGGGAAGTTAAGATGACAATTATCCAAGACAGCAAAGAATCAGGGCCTCTGCTTACATTATTATAGATTTGAGGGATGCAACAATAATAAAAAATCTTAACACATTAGATGTGTTTCCATCAACCTTATTTCTGAGCACTTTGAAGAATGGCATTAGCTGAGTTTGTTCATACAGATAAACTTCCCAAGTTTCCCCCAAAAAGGTTTTGACACTCACTTGAGATATTTTTTTTTACGTAAATGTGCTAAAGAGGAGAAAAAAATACATTTAAAAAAAATAACTTCTGATGTAAAAAAAAATCTCATATGGCTGATCAGCTGTTTCCGTCGCTGCCTGCGTCCTGCAGCATTAGAATCAAACTAATCTCTCTCGATGTCGCCAGATGGCACGAACATCATTGATACTCTACTTTCTGTTTACTACAGCAAAGCTTAACATCTTCAATTTGCTCCAATGAATGGAAACATGCCCCCCCCCAATGAACACTGCTATTTCTAACGACATGTAGCAGATATATGTTGTTCTACCTTCTTCTTTGGGACTGTAGATGCCTCGGCCTCCAGACAGTATTCCAGAATCTTCTGCGTGGGCTTCCTCTTGCGCTTCTTTTCAAGCACAGGAGCAACTCCTGTCAATTAAGGATTAAAGAAAAACCGTTGGAAACCCTAAAGACCTTCTGGCACTGTCTGACCAAAAGGAACATGGCAGGCTGATGCCACATGAGGCTAAAGTAAAAATAACAGTGGCAACCCATTGTTCTTCCCCCTCTATCTTAGTAAACAAAATGAATGTTGGTTTAATGTTGGGTCCACTATTAGTTAATATTTTTACTAATGATTTACCATATATTTTACATAAGGCTAATATTGTCATGTACGCTGACGATTCAACTATATATACATCAGCAAGTACACAAATTGAATTAGAAACTGCTTTAAATACAGAATTACAATATGTAGTAGATTGGGTCAAATCAAATAAACTGGCATTAAATACTGTAAAAACTAATTGCATGATTTTAGGTTCAAATTACAATATTAATCAGAATCCTGTAATTAATATTAAGATTAACAACGCAGTTATTGAACAGGTGCATGAGACCAGACTGCTGGGTGTAATAGTTGACTCTAGATTATCATGGAAAAAAACATATTAGTAATATTATTGCAAAAATGGGAAGAGGTATATTTATTATGAGAAGACATGCAAATTTCTTAACTTCAAACATTAGGAATTATGCAATGAAAGCACTAATATTGACATACCTCGACTATTGCCCAGCAGTTTGGTCAAATGTCACTGGAGAATATATAAATAAATTACAACTTATACAGAACAGAGCTGCTCGTGTAGCACTCAGGTGCAGCTACAGGAGAAATATAACATTAATGCACAAAGATCTTAATTGGTTGTTGGTCAAAGATAGATTGTTGTATTCATTGTTAATTTTCATAAGAAATATTTCTTTTTCCAAATTTCCTTCTGTTTTGTTCAAGCATCTTTCTTTCAGTGTAGTAAATCATCAGTACAGTACTAGACATGCAACTAAAGGTAATTTCACTTTACCCATAGTGAGAACAAATGCCATAAAAAATACTGTTGTGTTTAGAGGTATGAAAGAATGGAATAATCTGCCAAAACATATCCTGCTTGCTAATAATGTCAATAAATTCAAATTATATGTAAAACAGCATTTATCAAAATAATATAACTGAATGTTTATATTTATATATGTGTGTGAATATGTATGTATATGTGTATGTATGTTTGCAGGTGTAAGTGTAGAATGTGTTTTATATTTGTCATATATCACACCCGCATGAGGGTACATATGTACATTAATATGTGTATATATTGTATATGTATTTTTATATGTGTTTGTGTATTTTCTTTTTCTTTCAAATATTGGTTGTATTCTTACGTAGTTTTGTTTTTAATGTATATATTTTTTCAGGACCCCAGGAAGAATAGCTGCAGCATAGCTGTAGCTAATGGGGATCCTTTCAATAAAACTAAAACTAACTGATGATTTGGGCTTGAGTTGAGCCTAGAGACCCTTTCAAATCAAATATATTTTTTACAAATTAAATAAACACCAGAAAATCAACATAATGAGTTCTGAGAAAAGCAGTTTAAGAAAAAAATCCTCTTAGTTCAAATTCTGGACCTTAGGAGATCTTGAATAGATGATTTTACACCTACCGTAAATGAACTGAAGATGTGCTGCATATAGTGCAAAGTTACTACAAAAAATAAACTTTATGGCTGCCTTACTGTTTTTAACGTGGCCCTCTGACTGCAAGGGTTCAACTTCAGGAGGAGGAGTCAAGGAGTCTATTGAAAGCACTGGGATCTCCTGGATCGGTGGGTGTTCTGCTTTGGGAATCTGAAGTTCTGAAGGTGCAGTTGGAACAAATTCTTCAGGAGGTGGTGTAAGTATTTCGGGATGCAAGGAGGAGGGTGAGCTGTCGGGTATGTTCTTATCCAAATTCGAAAGCTCAGGCACAAAAACGACAGATTCGTTGGCCTAAACAAAAACATATTATGCATAGGACGTTAAATTCCAGAAACCCAAACTGGATTGGAGACAAACTATAACAGAGGCTTAAAAATGTAATGATTGCAAAAATAGAACAGAGTTCACTTTGTATAATTTTACCTTTTCAACCAACTGGAGAGGCCTTTTATGTTTCTTCCTTGAGGAGAAAATCTGGTTGTAATCCTCATTCCATTCAAGCAGTCTCTTACTGGGTTTCCGTATTCGTTTATGTTCTGAAAACCACAAGGAGAAGAAAATCGTTTATGGAGAAACATGCATTCCCCACCAATGTGGTGCATTTAGGCTTTTAGACATGAAGACTGTATAATATTCCTTTTTGTCTGCTCTACCCATCTCTTTTCCCCATTAATAAGCAAAATATCAGATGTTGTACTGAGCCACTTGCATTTATAAAGGGAGGCAGCCAAACCTCCCGACCACTGCCTTCAAATATTTTACCAACTTTTGAACAGTTGAAGGTGAATGGCTTAACCTAGATATTATATATAAAAATCAATTTAATCGATTTTGAATCGATTCCTTTACATTTTTGCAAAATCGATGTCTAAGGAATGAGATTGATTAGTACTTGACGTTCACATTCAAATGGGCAGGAAAGATGCACTCAAGATTACTTCAAGCCATACAGCTGCAAATATAGCCAATATGTTGACTGAAGGCATTAACAAATGGGGACTGACCAGCAAACACCCTGTAGTTGTTACAGACAACGCTGCAAATATGGTTTGTGCAGTAAAGATAATGCAGCTCATGCATGTCTGAGTGAGGCTTCACTTTTTCACTTTTCAAAAACAAGTTTGCACTTATGAGAGTTTTGTTCACATCTCAAGTTTAAACTGTCTGATTTACAAGTTTGCACTTTGTGTTTAACATGACAGGAAAAAATAAAATACATGAGTATTTTAAAACACAGTTGAACCACTTTCATTATTGTAAAAACAGATCGAATCGAAATAAATCGATTTAGAACTTTATTAATCAAAATCGAAACGATTCAGGACTTTGGCGAAAATACCCAGCCCTACTAGATATGCGCACCTTAACATGCCTGTAACTTTCAAAATGGCACATTTGAATAGGTAGGCAGGTCTCTCTCGCATATGTACAAAGGGTAGTAGACCATGGCCTTATTTCAACATAATTTTGACAGGTCACAATATAATGGCTATAATGCGTTAGCATGAACCCTGGTCTTTAATTTTTTTTTTTGTTCTCTTAAAATAAACAATAAATGCACATAGTAAAGGGTAACTCAAGCATTATAGGGATGTCTGGGACTGTTTTAAGTGTGAAAACCTGATTCTGTCAGCATCACAATCTTAATAGTTAAGATGGTGGTAGTGTTTGACACTGCCTTAGCTTCAATGACAGGAGGCCTCGGTTGTATCTGTTTAATTAGAAAGCACAAACTAAATCATGCTATAGAAAATAACCTTTCATCATTACTATTGTAAGGGCTGTATATGAGACTCTCATTACCTGCTGAAGCCTTATCCTGTTCCCCAGCTTCATCAATCAAGCCTTTTTTATTTCCCATGCCATCTCCATGAAGGCTGGTTGACTGTTCCAGGGTGATTGTGGGACTCTCCCTCATTTCCAAAGGTAGAGTAATCTGTTGACTGTCCTTTAAGCTTTTCCACCTCTTCTCATCCTCTTCTTTTCCACCCAGGCCTTCGTTACAACCAACCTGGGTCTCCTGGCTGCTGCTGCTTTGTGCATCCGGGGTTATCGACGAGAGGCTTGCTTTTGGGCAGGAAGTCAATGCTGCTGATTCAAGTCCTGGATAACCAGGTCCAGACTTGAAAGAATGAAAAGGCACTCTCCGATTTGTTTTCTTCTTCAGCCAATGGGTGCTGCCCCTTTTGGTATATGGCCTCTTGGGTTTCTCAACTGTACCACATCCGTTTTGTACAACCACATTTTTGTCAAGGATTGAGTCAGAATTGCTAAGACTACATTCAAGTTTTTGCCCGTGTCCTTTTGATGGAGCCTTGTCTGGCATAACCAAGGGCTCCTCCTTCACATGTGCACCAGGTGGCCCAATCTCTAACTCCAGGGGCGCACCTTCTCGCTCTCTAGTGTCATGCAAGTCCTTCAACATCATAAGAAAAGTGCTAAACTGGTATTTTGAGTCTGACTTGAAAGAAACAGGTTTCGCATCACTACCATTTGTTAAGGATTGAAAGGAAACCTCCTTAACACCCTTAAAGGCTTTCATGAAGGAAAATGGTGAGGGAGGAGATGAAGATTGTGTTTTAGGGGACTTATCCTCATGTTTTGCCTTTACTTTTGAAGTAAGGGGTATAAAGTCCATTGGGGGAGTTGAAGAAACTGACAAGTCTTCATCTTCACTTTTAACATCACTTTCAAAATCATCTGAATCGGACAAAGAAGGGGAGCTACATCTAGAAAAGGTGCTTTGATCATACTCACCATTGTCAATGTGATTAGATTTTATATGTTTTTTATCAGTGCATTTAACAATTTTGGGATCAGGATTCCATGCAAGATCCTCAACTTTTTCAAGATTCTTCACCAGTTTACTTCGTTCAGGATCTTGCTGGGCTTTTTTGCGCTTATTTTGGTCTATCTCCTGCAAGGCCTTAAGTGCTCTATTCATTAGCCGATTGCTGGCCGGTAGATGGGCTGGCTGGTCTTTTAAGACTTTCTTAACTTCTTTAGCTCGCTTTAGTTTGTGAACAGCTGTTTTGGATTTTGGAGGAGAAATATCTTCAAGCACTTGAGAGGTTCTAGTTGGAGAAGCTGTATCTTTAACAGATGAAATGCTTTCATCTTTACTGTCCGACTGGTTAGAGGATACCTTTGTTTCATTGCAGACAGAAGTAATTTTAGATTCCAAACCGTCTGATTCATTGGTTGATAAGGTAGCCAAGCTTTTTAGGCAAACCTTTGGCACTGGTATCTGTTCTACTTCTGGGCTACTCAACTTGTCAGAAGAGTCAACCGAAGCTAGAGCATTATTTCCAGGTGGTGATTCAGAAGACAGACGAAGTAACCCCGACTCACTTTTAGCTTTTAACTTCTTGACCGAGACCTTGATGGGTCTTAAAGGTACACTTTGATCTGTGGTGGAACTTAGTTTGCTGACTACAGGGTCTGATTTATCAAGCGATATCTTATCAACATTAGCTTTCTCTTTCTTTGTGCATTCACTTTTGTCAGTGGGTGAAATGATCAAATTAGGGTTAAGATAATTCTTATCTTCTATCTCCTTTCGTATCAGTTTCACAAAGGGGAGTCTGCATTTAGAGACCAGCTCTGTTTGTTTTTCTAGTGTTGCATCATTTTTTTCAATTGCTAAACAGGACATCAAAGTCTTCTTGCCTTCTTTCTCCTGATCAGACAGTTTTTCAGTTATATCAAGCTGTTCAGTAGCTATTATCACCGAAAGTTCAGTTTGACTTACACATTTTACAGCCTTTAAAGATACTGAGTGGACATTTAAACTGACTGTCTTTGAGGGATATGAGTCTCTTTTAATATCAGGACTATCTGTTGAACTGCTTGAAGGGTTTGTAATGGTCTCAGGTGGCTGCTTATTTTTGGAGCAAGTATTGTCGACTGACAGCTGTGTCTTTTGATTGTCCATAGTTGACGACAGTTCAACAGAACTACCACTTTTATCAACATGGTTGGCCTTATTGGTTCTACATTTCTCAGGTATGGACTGTTCAAGTTCTGGACAGTTATCTGACTTGTTTTTGTCTATCAAAACACCCTGGTCTTTGGAAACCGCACTGTTCAACGGGGCAGAAGGAACTTGTGCCTTCTTAGTAATAGTGGATAAGTGCTTTTTCTTAGAGGGGCCCTTTATAAAGAGGGAGCGGTCTGGTACTGGACTGGTAGTTTTAGGTCTCCTATCTTTGCCTGATTTACTAAACCAAAGACCTGTCTGGATCTCAGGCTGCTTCTTTAGCTCTTTGACTACTGCCACAGATGGTTGAGATGAAAGCAGCTTTGGCTGACGTTCAAGTGCTTTAGGACACAGAATCTTAGGGACTGAGTCAAGATCAGAGTATGGGCACTCTCTGCTATCCTTGTGAGATTCGTCAAAACTACAATGCAATGTCTTTTTAGAGTTTTTACTTCCAATGTCCTTTACAGATTTGCTTTGCTTCTTCTTGCTAGAGGCTTTCTTTAAAGTGCTTGGTTTGGACTGAGTTGTAACTGCAGATGTAGTGGATCCATTTGTTAAGTGCGATGGTTCAGAAACGCTGGAAACCGGTAAAGAGGGTAAAGAAACAGGTGAATGGGGCTTTTTCTCTTTTTCTGTTGGGGAACTATGGGATAGGGCTTGGTCTAGGAACGAAGTCAAGGAGGAAGTCATCTTGGGTCGTCCAGGCAGAGCAGATTCAGCCTCTACCACACTGGATTTCCAAGAAAGCTGAAGGCGTTTAGGAATCTGCAAGGTGTAAAAAAAAAAATTACATATTTTTACAGATTTATTTACACACAAAAAAACATGCTTCTGTCTGTCTTTCTGTATCATATATTTATTTTGATGTCTCAAGGGTGCTAAATAGTCAGACATACTTCACTCTGTCAACATCTGTGCTTTCTCAATGCAGATCTAATACACCGTGCAAACCTCAATATGTACTACCACGTACCCTGTGTTACACAAAAACTATTCAGCAGAAAGGCCTTCTGTCATTTTTTCCAAAGTTACTGATAAAATTAGCTTTTCTATATGTTCTGACAACCAAGGACACCTAGGCTTACAGTATCTGCACAGTACACTTGAGTCTCTGGTAGCCTTTAGATGACAGATATTTAGCCCATAGTAAACAAAGAAACACCAATAATTAATCAAACCATGCAAGCCTTTTGAAATACATTGCAATTGAACACTTACAGTGTTTTTTCTGCTCTTCTCTCTTTGCTTGTTCCTCCGATGCAAAAGGAGTAGTTGGTCAAATTCAAAGCCACCATGGAAAGTGTGAGTTGATTTTTCCTCCACCCATACAAGCTCCTTTGGCTCCCCAAAGGTCCGGACATGGTAAAGCCGACAAGGCCTGTCACTGGGCTCTTAAAAGGGAAGAAATAATTAGGTGTTATATCATGAAGCAGAAATTCCAAACACAATCACAATAAAGTAGACCTGAAGATCAACTGAGCCACTGAAATATGGATGAAACAATCAACCAATGTCATTTCCAATGTCAAAGAATACATTTTTAACTAAATAACAGAATAAATCCCAGACATTTCTAGCTTCTATAGCTAGACATGTATAAAGACCTATCCCTGAAAAGTGGTTACAATTTCAAATCATGTCTTATGATCTACAAAAAACAAAGAGTAATTTTCTCTGTTTAAAGTGGAGTACATTTTATGATTTGTGTGAATGTATTAACGTTGGTTGAATGCACTTTCTGTGACACTAGCTTAACTTTTTTATATACGGTACTATTAAGTGAGAATTAAGCTGAGTAAAGCCAAAAGATCGGCTTTTTAAAAATCAAAATATGGCAAACTTTGGAAAACTGCTTCAATGTTGAAAGCTGGAAAAAATGTCTGATTACCAGACAATTTATTTTAAACTGTATTTAAAGTAGGGCGGCAACTAACGATTTTTTTGCAAATCTATTCATTTTTCGATTATTTTTCTAATTAACAGATTAACAGAACAAGATTTTTTTTCGAAATTAAACCAAGTGAATATAAAGCTTTTCCACTGGAGGAGTTCTGGATAGAGCATATGACAGGCAAAAAAGATTTTAATCTTAATTGCAAAATGTTTACATATATTTTTTGTAAATAAATTTGTTGAAATTGATGCTCAAGATGGGTTGCTACATTGACTAAAGGTGCATTTTGGAGTGTCTATAATCCAGTTAATCAATTACTAAATTAGTTTCAATAATTGATTAATCATAATTAATGCAATTAATTGTTTCAGCTCTAATTTAAAAACCAGATCTTGTCTATAAATTCATCTTCTAAAAGTGATTTTGCATCAAGCTTTCCTGCGTAGCTGCTGAGCACCCACCATTAAATGACACAAACATCTTGCTTGATCAGTTATCTGGCTAAAATGTAGCTTATGCCAGTTTCATCTAATTAAGTGGGATCATAGAATTTATATAAGAAAATACTTATATGCTGGAATACCTGGTGTACAGTTGCATTTTAAAGCAAACTCCATCTATTTGTTTTCTTATTAGCAGTATAAAATTATCTCCTAAGACGAAATAAAAGGTTTTATCCCTGTAGTTCAAGCTTTCTTTCAAACCTGCTGTATAAAGTTGCAAAGTGTTGTCCAATGTTTATTGTCACAGCTAGCAAACACTGTTTACACACTTACCTTTCATTCTGTGGTAGACCCCGAGTGAGGGGTCCATCACTACTTCACAGGGCCACCATGGTCTTCGGTTAAACTTTGCCCAAACAATTTCGCCCTCAACAAACCTCACTGGGGGCAGAGGCTTTTTCTTTTGGTTATTCTGCTGCTGTGGGGCAACAAAGAATCCTCATAAGCAAAATGAGCTGTAAAAATTATACCCACAAATCTAAATTGTTCACTAATTTTTAAGTAAAATGATTTCCAAAGGCACTGACAAAGTAAAGGAGTGATGGGCTGATTTTCAAATGAATGGGTAAAGGCTTTGGTTTATTGCTTTTGACCTCTCTATTATTGTTTTGTTTGTCATCAAATAAAATACAGTCAGGCCACAAAAGCAAGAGCAGAAAAAAATGTGTATTTTATACTAGTACAATTAAAAATATCTGCCTTTTCGTTTTTTGAGAGGACAAATTGCTAGATTTGGTCTGAGTTGTCTTAAAAAGCCTCTCTAAACTTGTTATTTCAAAGACTAATTTGTCTTTTTTGTTGTTGTTTTACATAAAATGGCATGGTGAAGCAAAAACACACAAGGAGGTATGCACGGTATATTAACATTAACAGATGAGTCGATCCATGTTAATTTCCATCTTGTCTTTTTTATGTGTTTCAGTTATTAAATGGGGGTTGGTCATATGTAATTTATTTTGGTGTGTGACAGGGATGCAGCGTTTTCCCCTTTGGGATGTTTGTATTTGTTATGTGGATTAAACTATAATTATTTTTGAAGTCACAGTAGCGAGCACTGTGCAGTATACTAATGTAAAATTACCTTTGTTATCTGTCTGGCATGTGTAGCTTTAAAATGTCTGGATATGTAACCTTAGACAGTACTTATGTAGAAACGTGATTATTATACATAAAGTTATGTGAACAATAAATATGGGTAATTTAAAATAATATAAAATAACCACATATTTAAGACAAGTACACAGAAATTTATTTAATTAGTAGTTACCACTAAACTTTTGGCTAATGCTCTGACTAATGCTCTCCTTGTCAGCCTCATGGAATCGCTGGACACCCAATCTTCTTTCTATATAGAAATGTTAAATTAATCAGAGCAAGCTGAGAAGTTGCAAGCTTCCAATATTGTCTTATCACCTAATTCTGTTTTAAACTTCCTCACAATTTACTCCCTGACCTGCTGTGTTTGTTGGCCTTTGCAATCTTGTTCACTAACGCTCCTCCTTGTTCTCCCAGCTGCCCTCTGGGAAGAGTCTTCGCAGCATCCTCTGCAGGAACCAGCAGGTTCTGCAACAGCTTTTTCCCACTGCCTTCAGACTGCTGAACCTTTGAAACTCTAATCTAGACTCTGCATTACATTTGCAACATATTTGCACTACCAAAATGTCTGATTTTTTAAAATAATCACTTTAAATAGAACACAACTCAATGTTCTATTGCAGTTTGCACCATATTTATCTATTTTACACTGCACTGAACCTTTCCATATTAATGCCTTTTGCACCCTACACTGTTTAGGTTCTTGTTCAATGCTGAACTTCATAAAAGGTGATGTTCATTTCACTGTTGTAAGCTGTATACATCGAAATTTCGGTTTCTCTTTGTATACAAAAGGACAATAAAATTTGCATGAGTCTGTCTAAGTCTAAATCTAAACAAACATTTGAGGCCTCCATACAACGCTGCATTAACATTGAAGTTAAATGAAACTCAGCAGAATCCTATTTACTTCTTATGTGACAACTGGTTCCACTGAATTTTATAAAGAAATATTACATTAAAGGGGTCTAAATACAAATGCATTTAATAGTTTTATCATTTTACTGTCAGTTTAACCATTTTGCACAATTTTTGTCTGTCTACCAAATAAAAATCCAGTAAATACATAAAGATCAGCAATTGATTGTTGGTGATTTATAACGATGGCTGATGCTAAAAGGGTTACAACTCTGTATAAGTATGAGGAGTTCTCTGTCAAGTATCAGGATCCATCAAAATAAAGCACTATGCTTCTTTTGGTGTGCTGAACATTGAAGCTTATTAGACGGCTTCCTATAAGTGTATCACAAATATTTGTTGCTGTAAAGGATAAATAGAAATAAACCTACCACTATGTGCCATGCAGGACTGTCCTCAAAGAGGAACAGTTCTGAGTCGCTGTCCCACTCGTCTTCTGAGCCATCCCAGTATCTCCTACGCTGACCCGAGGACTGGGAGCGAGTGACCACCTTAGGTGTTGGCAGGTCCGTGTCCTTTGAGTCCAAATGTACATTTCTAGGAAAGGGCTGCGGAGCAGTCTCTGCTTTGTCATGTTTATCCAGCAAACCTCCAATGGGTGTTGCTGCTTCTTGCTCTTCGTTGTTGTTGTCTGCCTCGAACAATGTGGATTCAAAGTGGAGTAAGCCGTTGGCGAAGGGACTGTTGCTGTCGAGAGAAAAGGCAGGGCTAGGTGGGCCTGATAGAGAATTTTCTTCATTTTTCTCAGAAACACCAGATTCGTTAGAAGTAACAGGATGCAAGTCTTTATTTTCATTTTGGGCGTCCATTTGGTTCTGCCTTGAAAAAGAGCCATTGGTGTATTCTTCTTTTCTTGTAATCCCGGAAGTAGAAAAATCTCGGTATTCACCCCAGGAGTCCCTCTCCTTTCCCCCCTTATCCTTCGTATTCGCCCCCCACTCCCAGCCCCTCTCAGGTTCCCTCGTCGGTAGGACGAGATCAGGCTGGCTCACCATCTTGGTGAGGTGCTGCAGCCTCCTGAGGGGACTGTAGGAAGAGGAGGTGGATGACGAGTGGTCCGTTTGGATGTAACTGTAGAGAGACGTATGTTTGAGAGAGGAGGTGGTGGCAGACATGTGGTTGCTTGGTCTGGAGAGGCCGGACGGGTCGCCGGCTGGGGTCAGAGGGCAGCTAGACTGATGGCTCTTCCTTTCAGGACCTTTGTAAGGTCCGCTCATACCTGCATGATCCCCCCCTAAAAAACAGAGGAGGAGATAATAAACTTCTCATAAAATTCAAGTTATTTAATTTAGAAACATATTTATAACTGAAGAACAAATATGTGTGCAATAAAAAACAGCAATCAGTTCACTCAATGCATTAAATTAAACATAAGACACTAAAATAACCTGATAAAACTAGTGATTCAATTATATTTACCAACATGAAAATAAAGTTTTAAGATTGGCACTAGCTTCCTGCTATACACTTCAACTATTCCAGGAAGGCCATGAGTAAATTCAGACACTGTTCTACAAACAAAGAAAACATAAAAACATATATACATGTTAATAGCAGTGTTAAGATATTTTTGCTTATTTTAGAGCTGATGAGATTTTAAAAAGAGGCCAAAAATACATCGGCAGCTATCAATGCAAAAGTTTAAGAAACATGTTTGGCAACATCAATAATAAAAACATACAAAAAAATATAAACATAAAATAGAAACCATAAAAATCAACATGTAAAAAGAAATATGACACAGAATATACTGAATAAAATAACACAATATAATGGTCTAAAAGTAATTGAAAAGCTGTTTTTGGTTTCTGTGAAGGTGTTATTTATACGTGTCCAGTGTCGATTCACCACCTCCAAAAGTTTTGTAATTTTTTTTCTTTTTATCTGATGCTTCATCGCCCGCCCTCCACCAATGCGGCCCTGGTCAAAATGCCCATGTTGTCCATATCTGTCACAAGCTATGTTTACAAAAGCACAAAATATCCCGATCAAACTGAATCATATTTGGATTGGAAAAAAAAGATAATATTCTGGACGTAAATACTAAGAATAAATGGCAGATTGTGTAAACCTGCTATGAGGAATATTGCTACCTAGCGTTTAACCACTAAAGGCTGACGTACGCCCCATTCATGAGGGGTTCACATGAGCGATCGGGTCAGTTTGGCTCATCTAAACTAATTTGATCCTGACAAGTGTTTAAATGCTCGATGATCATATTGTCAACCTGCATAAATCACCATGTTAAATCACATTATATTTTCATTCCAATCATGCTGAATCTCAAATATATCCCGACTATTATATTTACATAACGCATTTTAGCCCAATCAGCTGTTTATTACTATTACTGATGCCCATGTATACTGAGCTACTGCTTCCACACAAAGTACCTTAACATACGCTGCTATATTCAGCATTTACTCCCACCTGATGGCCAACTGCAGATCTTAAAACATTAGTGGCATAAAGACCTGAGTACAAATTGTTTTGATGCTATCTTCGAAAATACTTTGTATCTGAAAATCTCGAAGCACACTTTTCTGCTGTTGCTTTGAAAAAATATTGCAAATTGGGGTTTGTTTAATTAGTTTCATGGATAGTTATGTGATTTGTCCTCGGCACCTACATCCTGTGTCCCTAATTTATAAGCCATAGAAGATGAATGATGGGACACAACTGATGTGATGAAAAGCTGAGCATTTTCCATTTTCCTCAAGGATAGAATGTAAGAAAATATATTACGAAGCTCCAAACTGCCTGTTTTAGGGGTGTGGTATCTTCAGTCGCTTTGATCCTTAACTTAAAAATGAATCACCTAATGCAACAAAAATCACTTCTCTCTCACTTTTCCAAACTGGTCTGGAAAAACGTCTCCAATAAAGGACATCCCTCCTCGGCAATCGTCATGTATTGTAAATTTTGTACTATAGTAAACATTTGATTTTATTGTATGTGGGCTTTTACTCTACAGCAGCCTTGGGTGTCTTTAAAGGTGCATTATTATTATTATTATTAGTGTATTCATGTTCCTTAGGAGTACTTACAAACTGCTGCAGATCACTGATAAAAGATAGAAAACAACTAAATGTACATCTTATCAGTTCCTTGTCATATACAAGCTTTAAGTTTGCCCTCTGTCTGTGAACTACCCCTCAGCTCACAGTTTCAACGAGGCATCATCCCTCTGTGAACTTTCCAGCAAACTTCTAACAGCAAAATAGAGGGATGTTATCTTAAGTACGACCCCCCTGTTCTACTTTTAATAAACTCAAGGAAACACCATTTAACCTACCTGGAAGCAAAAAACTCATTTGGAAACATATATGGTGTGAAACACCTCGCTTTGCTATCCTCCTGTTGCTGCTAGTTGTGCTAAAATACTAACAATAACTTGAACAGGGAAACCAAATGGAGATTTCAATTCAACTGTTATTCTATTATAGATAAATACAAATAAAATACAATAAAACCTGTTGCTGCTTTTGCAACAGGTCTCACCAACATCTGTTACAATGTCCTTTCATTTCAACAAAATGAGTGATTTCATACTTTTCAGTTTAAAAGCCTTTTTAGGTACAAAATTGGACCATCTCCCAAAGTTACTCACAATCAGAATAAGGACTATTGGCAGTTAAGCCAATACTTTATAATCCAATATCAAAAGGTGACTACCGTAGATAAATACTATCCATAGATTATCTGGGTTTGATCAGGGTTCCTAATCTCTAATTCTTCCAGTACTTTAACTGTTTTAGAAAAGGATCACAATAACATTCAATGGAAGTAGCATGGGAAAAATATTCTCCTGATGTAAAAATGATTAAACCCCAAGAGAAGCAAAGCACTGTACTCCCTCTGAAACGAAGGGAAATTAAAAAAATGTCAGTAGCTGGGTCAGAAATACGCCAAGCTAGCTAAGATATGTTTTAAACCACAGAGATTAAGAGTGAGAGTTACCAAATAAAGCTGATTAATTATTTCCAAAAAGGCAACAAAAAAACAACAACAAAAAACAAAATTTACAATTAATTATGTTCCTTTCACAGTGATTATTGAAATGAGGGATAGAACATCTGCTTAATAAAGTTTAGAATATGAGTACGATATACACAAAATATAATTTCTTCAAATAACCGAAAAATTAAGACAATATGTGAGCATGACTTTATGGTGTTTGATGAACATTTTTGACTTTAAATTATGCAGTGTGTGAACGGTGTGTGTAAAAGCCCATGTCTTGAATAAAATAAATTAGAATGCAATGTAGATATAAGAATTCAAATAATGTTATAAATAGTAATTAAAGCAAAACATAAAAATAAACATTTTTACAATTTCTCAACTGAAATTGTGTGCTGAGTTTTTCTCAACAATAATATAAGAAAATCAGGCATTATTGGGGGCATTAAAAACCCCTGAGGACCTTATATTATATTTTCAAAATGGCCTCCTTCAGAATAACATCATGTAAATGTAGCTATTATAACCTGTCAACTCCATAACTAACGGTGTTGTCAGTGACAGTGTTGATAAATTCTACTAAAGTGTGCAATTACCTCATTTTATTGTATTTTACATAAATGTCCTTACTTGACATGCCTCAAATATCTTTTTGTTGGTTATTTTCAGCTGAGTTGAAATTGAATATGATTTGTTTTGTCCTTCAATAATAAGAATTTAGGCTGCTCATAGGCACAGTGGGTAGCACTGCTGCCTTGCAGCTAGAAGGTTCCAGTTTTATTCCCAGCCTAGAGTCTTTCTGCATGGAGTTTGCTTGTTCTCCCTCAGCATATGTGGGTCTCTCCGGGTACTCCGGCTTCCTCCCACAGTCCAAAAACATGACTGTTAGGTTAACTGGCTTCTCTAAATTCTCCTTAGGTGTGTGTGAATGGTTGTTTGTCCTGCTTGTCTCTGTGTTGCCCTGCAATGGATTGGCGACCTGTCCAGGGTGTACCCCGCCTCTCGCCCGTAGACAGCTGGAGATAGGCACCAGCACCCCTTGTGACCCCACTTGTGATTAAGCTTGTCAGAAAATGGATGGATTGATGGATAATAAGAATTTGTGTCATTCCATGGAAACAGGATGAAATAACTATGCAATAAAGGAAATTTTGTGTATTGTCTTCATCTAGATTGTAATATTCTTAAACTGCCAATGTCATCATCATAGTCATTTCTGTCACCTTGTCGCACTATGTCAACAACTGTTTTTGTTTTTTTGTTTTAAATAGCATTTGTTTTGTTTCTTCAGAAGCATTTGTCCACAAAACTGCTGACAAAGTTCTCTAGTTCAGGTCCAATAAAAATGTAATTTACCCAATAAGCACTACAACCAAGAGCCTATAGTTTAACCTTGTTTTACATTTACAAAACATAATTTTCTTATATTCAAAAATATAAGCTTTAGAAATAATCATATTATTTTTTGGGGGAAAAATAACCAATTCTGTCCCCGATCTCAAGAATCACAGAGAATTAGTTTTCATTTTCAAAGGATTAAGGATTTTAAATGTAATGTGTAATATCATATTCATATGCCAAACAATGAAAAATAATCTCATAGTAGCATATAGCTGTAATCTATAAAGCAATCACGATGACTGTGCTGCGTTTTAATCTCCAGTTATGGCAGCAGGTGATGCATATTAGACATTAAACCTATCAACATGATGCCCAAAATAAAAACACAAAACCCCTGCAAACAGCGTCCTAACGTCTCATTCAATCCGAATAATAAAATAAAGAGCTGCAAATCTTCTCTGAGCTGCTATCGCGATATGTTGGAAATGACATTAGACACGATAAGGTCAGGCTGTAAAAGTCTCACATGAAAGCAGGACTGGCGTCCAGTTATGAGGCCGGTAACGCCACACCGCTGCGTCAGGATCAACCATTAAAAATGTGGATTAACACCAACCGGCGCGTGCGTGTTTTTGTCAAACCACGGTGGCAGGAAGAGCGCGTGTGCATGTGTGTAAGTGTGCGACGACATGAGTGTGTGTGTGTGATTGTGTGTGTATGCATGCGGAGGTTTGGTGGTGGGGGGGGGACTAAAAAAAGCTTAACATGAAGGGGTGGAAAGCGCGACGAGACGCAAGTTCACGAGCGAACGCAAACACGCGCGCACACACATGCACGCTTTCTCCACGGATAGATGCGTGCATCACAAACAGCAGAAATCACGTACAAAATTCCACATGACGTGGGATCCCACGCCAGAATCTTACCATTCCGGTGTGGCCCAGCGCTAAAATGACCCCCAGCCGGCTCATTTTGGCGTTTAAATGGGCCCATTTCCAGATTTGTGAGAGCGGATCAGTGAAGTAACAGCGGCAGCACTCACTAGGCCTGGATCCTTTGCTCTCTCTCCCTCTCTCACTCACCCATTCCCCCCCACCACCACAAACACTCTTCTCCTCCCTTTACATGCGGTCTGCTCCAGCGGCCCCCGGAATAATTTCCACAGATTAAGTTGGTTGTGGTCCTTTCAGCGAAACTCCCTATTTTTGCAAAGTAATAACTTTCTAATCCCCCGTCCAGGGATGGATGCATGCTCTGCTGCCTATTTCCTGCCAAAAGACACAGCCTTGCCCCTTCAAAGTCAGTTTCTGTTGTGTGAGCACTGCCAGGCGTCACCACTGTCTCCCCTCTCAGCCAGTCCATAGCATGGAGAACAGAAGGGACCACAATCTTTTATAATTTACAGTAAAAAATTAAAATAAGATGACAGCCACCCAAAAACACACGGATACAGAAAGCCCCGCCCCTTTTCTTATTTTAAAGCATTCATACCAAACTCCATCTCCAATCAAGAGCCAAAAGTGTCAGAATTCAATACAAAATACTTATTCATTTTATAATTTTATTGTAAAAATAATTAAATATATGAATCATTATAGCCATAAATATCTTAAGTTTCTTGCAAATCCTTTTATTATATCTTCAAAGTTTACAGGAATATTTATTTAATGAGTGCATAATGACATGTTGAAACCATTTTCTAATACATTTCTTATGCAGTTATTTGTTTCAATAGTTTGTCATCCCCCTTAATAAAGGTGAAAGAGATGTTTTTTGCATGTTAACCAGTTAGATCTCTTCCAATTCATTTTTGTTTTGTTCGCTATACTGACCAATTGCCTTCCATAAATACCTCATTAAAATCCAGTACATATGTGCAACTAGTTGCTGAAAAATATAATTTATTTAATTTGATATTTACTAATTTCCTTTGATTACAGGAAAATGATCTTATTGTTTGTCAAAAGAGGTAGGAAAGGTCTCTTTTTTTGGGTGAAGGTTGGTCAAAATGAAACATCACCTGACCCATGGTAACATTATTTCCAAAATTAGGTCAAGTGCACATTAATCAAACCTGCAAAATGATAATATTCACCTGCAAAAGACAGATAAATAACCTGTAGCACTCAGGTTTAGTTCCACATGTAAATAATCTGATACCACTCCCTTTAAAGGTTTGGGAGTGGCGGCCTAGTGGTTGAGCATAGAGCGTTAGTTCGAGCCCAACTCCCACTGACTGACACTCTGTGTCTTTGAGCAAGACCCTTAACCCCACACTACTCTCTGGGTGCCGCACAATGGCAGCCCACTGCTCCCCATCAATGCAGAGGTAGATTTCTCCAATGTAAGATCAATAAAATTGAATAATAAAAAAAAAAAGAATGTGGAAGGAGGGATATTCAATAGAACCTTTTGAGCTGATTGGTTGAAGCCCCACCTAGTGCCCGCCTACCCTAGTTAGGTTTTTAGCAAATTCTGGTTGCAGATGAAATAGCAGCAGATGCTATCAGAAATCACAACAACTTGCTCTTCGTTCTTTCAAAGATAAAATTTTGGATTCTGACAAATATCCTGCTTTGTGCTTGCAGCTCTTGATTTCATCGCATTTTACACCCTAATATTGCAATGTAATTGCCGACCCTTTTTGGGTTGTTGTGAACTCACATATACTGCAAGAAGAGTTAGCATATAATGTCTAAGGCGTAGAAGCAAACAGCACTCAATCTTCATGTAAATTGCAGTGTGTTTGGTGCCACCAGTTGAAGGGGAGTATAACTGCAGGCATAAAAACCTAAAATCCCTTGCCTCCACACAGCCCTAGTATATCCTAGTCGGCATGCATGATGATATTTATGCTACACAGGTCCTGTACTCTAGTAGGAAGAAGGCATTTTCCATCCATCCATCCATTTTCTGACACGCTTAATCCCAGCTGGGGTCACAAGGGGTTCTGGTGCAATTCTCCAGCTGTCTACATGTGAGAAGCGGGGTGCACCCTGGACAGGTCGCCAGTCCATCGCAGAGCAACACAGAGACAAACAACCATTCACGCACACACTCACACCTAAGGAGAATTCAGAGAAGCCAATTAACCTAACAGTCACCTTTTTGACTGTTGGAGAAAGCCGGAGTACCCAGAGAGAACCCACGCATGCTCAGGGAGAACATGCAAACTCCATGCAGGGAATCGAGCCCAGAACCTTCTTGCTGCAAGGCAGCAGTGGTAGTGCCAATGCACCACTGAGCAGCCCAAAAAGACATTTTAACTAAAACTAATTTTTTCATTAAATCCATACATTAATTCGTGAAATTAAGTAAACCTAAAATGTATTTATGTTTTGTTTTAGATATTTTTGTGTATTTAATGTTTGACCATACTATTAAATATTATACAATATATATTTAGACATAATGTATTTTAATAACTTTATAAAACTAATACATAATAGATATTTAACAAATAATTTGTTATTGGATTATAGCACTATTGGCCCTTGATACGTTACCAGGGAGGTGTCCAAACGCCCAACCTGTACCAACAACTGGCTTCTGCAGCACCTTGAAGAGAGAAAACGACAAAATGCATCAATTGAACGGTTCAAATATGTCTCCCACTACCTTCCTCAAGGAGAAAAGCTTCAGCAGTCTACGCGGAAAAAAAACACAACACATGATGGTTCCCTTTCATTAGACGAGTAGCTGGGTAGGCTCCATGTCTGCACACCCACTCTCTTCAAAATGGAGTCCCTCAAAAGGCGAGAGAGGTGGAGAAAAAAAAGAAAGAAAAAAAAAAAGAAGAGAAGCAGGCCACAAAGTGTTAATGTATGTTCGATATAAAGTTCACCCTGGCACGGGAAAAAGTGAGCCTAAAAGCGCACCCCTGCAAAGCTTTGGAGCGCTTTCTGGAAGCATTCCCACGACAGGGACATTTTCTTTCTCCTTATGTCTTATAAGCGTTATTGCACGACTGAGGAGGACTGAGGCACAGTTATATCCCCCTCATATATATATGTGTGTGCGAGAGAGAGATTGGATGTGTGCTTTTTAAAACGCACATCATATATTGTGACTTAAAGCGTCGCATCAGCTGCTTTACTTCCAGTTTTGGTGCATATTGGAGGCGATCAGACAGCAGCAGCCTCCCGGCCGGTGAGACCGGAGCTGGGCTGCGTGTGGGCTTCCTTCTGCCCTGGTGTTCGCTTTTCAGCCACATCAAAACTCATACCTTTAAAAATGTTCATATCAGTGTGACACTGCAGTGTTGAAAATGAGTGTGAAATATGCCCGCACAGAGACGCGCGTGCGTTTATTCCTCGGTTGGCGAGGAGAGGATACTGCAAACTGCCCGCAGAGTCTTCACCTTTTCCTGGAAACACTTGGTGGATTTATATATAGGGGGTGTGCTGAATGCTCCGCAAAGCTCGATGGGGTCATTGGTGAAAACAAAAGAAAAACGTTGCGTATATATTCAATGATTTATGCACCCAGAGGCGCTTAAAATCATAGAGGAGATTTGATGCGTGCTTTGATTTTCCGCCTCGTTGTGAACAGCAGGGGTTGGGCTGGATATATAAAAAAATAAAAAGTGATTTATTTCGACAGACAGGAGAGGACACGCGGATAGGACGGGACAGGGGCCTGCTGCGGGTTTGAGCCGCGCAGAACAGCGCCACCCGCGGTTGCACCCCACATCTCTAAGTCACCGAAACTTTCATTTTTACTCTTCATTGCATTTTTGCTGCAGCTTCAAGGCAACCTTCTCTCAAAGCAATGGGGTTTATATTTAGAGGCAGGGGTGGCTCTAGTGTGAATTACTTTCTGGATGGACCAAGGCTGTAACTTTGCGGTGAAAGTTGGTGGGGACACTCTTAGGGTGGTGGCTGATGGACCTAATGTTATTCTACACACTTTCAATAGGGTTTCTATTTTCCAAAAATTAGCTCAAACATATATTTATTGAATGCTTTCCTATTGTTGAGATCACAAAATAATCAAAATACACTGATATTTATATGTATAGATAGACATTAATGTATATTAGAAAAAGGATAAATAACAGCCAATTCCGATGCCAACAGTAAAATATCATGCCTCACTACTATGTACACAATTTCAGTTTCATTCATCCATCCAGAAAAATGTTAATGGATTGATGGATATTTTTCCTTTCAGCTACATTAGTGGTTATCCTCCTTCAAAAGCAGAAAAATCTAATTTAGACATTTGTCCCACATATTGCCAAAGTCTATGTATTGAAATTATTGGTGGGGACATGTCCACACCAGTCCTTCAGAAAGTTACGCCTATAGGGTGGACCTCTTATTCTGCATCCTCAAAGAACCATATTCACAAACCAAACTATAGCCTATGGAGAAAAAAAAAAACATTATTCAGTAGGCTTGGCGAGTTACCAAAGATAACATGTTATTTGATATTTAAAAAGTGTCATCAGAAAGACCAAAATATAAAATGCAGTGCCAACTCTAGTATATTAAATGCAAAATTATAATAAAAAAATATATATCTCACAGTCAAACAGCAAATTAAAAGCAGAAGAAACATAAAAAACAATAACACAATTGGTTTATTAAAACAGGATAAAGCAACTCTAGTGACAATATCTACTGTTTGCTGTATACTTGGCTTTTAGTTGCCACACCAGGCTCGTCACATAGTAAATAATAAAATCTTTACTCTTATGTAGAAATAATAAGATAATAATTTTGAAATAACTTTACTTGCTTGTCTTTGTGTTATCTGTGTCCTTTTTAAGCTTTATTCAAAGTTTATTTGGAAAGAACAAAGTCCAGTGGATTGTTTTTTATATTTGGAAAGAAGTAAGCAATGCACACAGAGCCACAAAGGAGGCTAGAAGGGAGAGCAGGTAATAATTAAGGGGAGAGAGGGAAGAGAAAAAAAGAGAAAATATACAGAATAACTCCTGTTTTCACAGCTTCAAAAAGCAAGAAGGATGAAGAAGAAAAAACAACACCAACCAAGACAAAAGACGGAGTGTCCTTTGAATACACAGTAATGTGTACAAACATCAAAACCTATGAAGATAAAACTATGTTATTCAAAGCTATATGTATTTGCAGTTGCAGCTTAGAATTAAGCATAGCTGTTAATCTGTTAGCACCTGGATCCAAACGCATCTGGTGTATATCCATTAGATTTCATGTGTGTAGAAGGTGTATAAAGCTTATTCAACAGGAAGATATGCTCAATAGCAGGTGTGAGGGGCCTCAGACCCACCCCAAAAGAGCCCAGGGCTGATACAGAGGAGACCCCAGATACTCAAAAGTAACCCAGAGTAAAGGGATAGAGGGAGGGCCTACACAGGGACACCGGCACTCTCAAGAGATGGACAGACAAGAGCCCTGGGGCAAGACCCCAGAGGTTATAGTGCTGAAGCCCCAAGGAGCTGCCATGA